GGTTGGTGCATGGGCGAGCACAGTTGGGAATCTCACATCTCGGGTTCGAATCCCCTATTCTACGGACTCGTCTCTTCAGTGGGGCAAAGCAAGTGTGGGCCCAGTGCCGGTGGATGACCTCGCTAGGTTCCGCCGAGGGATTAGTTACGCCGCCAAGTGCTCCATTTGGAGTGGTAGTGGGTAGATATCCCCGTTCTAAAAAAAAATGAATTGGGGGACAAAAAGGCTGATAAGATGTTGATGAGAGGGATGAGATTATACGGGTAGAAAGGGAATGTAAGCAATGATATTGCAATATTTATTTGTTTAAATATGTAAATTTATTCTTAAAAAAGGACTTTATCCAATTTTGTAAGAAAGAAAAATTCATAATAGAGAAATAGAATTGCATATCCAACTTAAAAAAAAAAAAGTAAATTTGGACAAAATTTGCAATGGAATTTATGAGTATATATGGAAATGTAAATGACAAAGCATTCTCGAATTACTTAAAATTGCAATTGATTTGTGACAAATGTTTGTCTAAAATAAATATTTTACAAAAAATAAAGGTGGAATAATAACAATATTTTGATGGCTTTTGCAATAATTTTTCCTACTTGTAATTTTCTTACAAACTCTACTAAATTGTTTCAAATAATTGTCTAAAATTTTCATTTTGGGACCATATTTTCTTCATTTTGCAAAACATTTTCAGTTATCGAATTGCTGTTTGTTTATAGCTTCATCAATTACTTTTCTGAATAGAATTAATCAAATGAAAAATCTCCAATAAAGATATATATATCGCCTTGATAAATGACTGATCGTCATCCACCATATTACTTAGTCACACAAACCTTCACATATTATGAAGAAAAATCCTCCATTCTTTTTCTTAAAAAGGATATTTAGTAATCAATCAATCATATAACTAAAAAACTTCACCAAAAAATAATAATAATTATAAAAAAAATTCATAACCAGAATTTATATAAATTAATTGACATATAAACATAAAAAAAATTCAGCAGACATTGGCCTGCACCCTTGTTGTTGTATAGTAGTCTAGAGAGAGAGAGAGAGAGAGAGAGAGAGAGAGAGGGGGGAGGGAGGAGAAAACACCAAAAAATGAGAGTTCAAAGTAAAACCTAGCAAAATGAGAGAGAGTGCAAAGAAGCCCTGGCGAATGAACCAAACAAATTCTTTTCCTTTACAAATCTAGCAAACTAAATAAATTTTCAGTTCTTGTATCGATATCCACTTTCAAATAGAAATAAGTCAACATGCATCCATAACCACGTACATCAACAACCTCAAAACCATATAAACTCCTTAGAGAGAGTGCAAAGAAGCCCTGGCGAATGAACCAAACAAATTCTTTTCCTTTACAAATCTAGCAAACTAAATAAATTTTCAGTTCTTGTATCGATATCCACTTTCAAATAGAAATAAGTCAACATGCATCCATAACCACGTACATCAACAACCTCAAAACCATATAAACTCCTCCTAATTAACTCCCCAATAGAACTAAATGTTCATATATCCCTCAAGCAAATACAAATGAAGTGATGAACTCGATCTCATCTATCTTCTACCTCTCACATCCTGCTCAATCTCAGACGCCGGGTCATCCTCCTCCTCAAAACAATCAATACCATAAGCTGCATGGCCATGCCCAAAGGCCTTTATATGATCCTTCAGAGACCTCTTGTGCTTGAAATCTGACCCACAAGTGCAATACCAGAGCTTCCCACAGTTTTTCTCATGGGTCCTCCAATCGCCTCGAACGGCGAAGGCTTTTCCGCATTTTCTGCACATGAAAGGCTTAATGCCGTGCTTGCGCTTGTAATGGGTCTGAAGCGTGCGGAAGTCTTTGAGGGGTTTGGCTCTCGGGTGGTCAATGTTGTTGCGGCAGCCAGCCGCGCAGCAGTAGCAAGGTAGCCGTAGCATAGCCGTTGGTTGTGTGCCTCTTAGGGACTCAGGTCCTTTTCTGTATTGTGAGCCGTGTCCCCACATGTGCATCTGCATATATATCATTCTGTAGGCCTTCATTAACGTATATGAAAAGAGCAAAAGCTGCACTTCTTTTATATGTGAAAGTGTTAATACATTTATAATGTTCTTGCTATAGAATATGGTTAGAAAGATGTTAGCGATAAAGATATTCTTTTGCTTTGGAAGATGCAACGCAGGAACCAGTACAAAAAATTTTCACTTCTTAGGTTAGCTAAGCTCTATTATTTTTGCTTGCTCTGGTAATTAAGTAGATGCTCAATTTTTGTTTCAACCTATTTTCTAGTCCTTCTCATCCTAATATAAAATGTATATATAAGATATCGAATAAGACAGATTAAAATTATAATTAATGGAGTAATAAGTCACTATGAGTTCGGCTAATCTAATAATAAGATTTCTTTTATGAATGAGCTGCCCTATGGACTAGACTTACTAGTGGTTTGTGTTTAGCTTTGCACGCAAGCAAATTCAACACAATGCAGTTCATCATGCCCTTAATCACATACTCACACGTTTCAATTCGGAGGAAAGAAGAAGCACAAAAATCCCTGCCCGTAATACAGCTTAACTTGAACTAAGATCATCCAAAATCCCTTAGACAGAGAGAAGACTAAGGCAAGAACAACATACACAAAACTGCACAACAAGGTTCATCTCGACCTGAGACTCACTCTCTCTTTCTCTTTCTCTTTCTCCATCTCTCGCGTGAGAGAGAGAGAGATGGGGTATGAACAGGTCAAGATGAACAGTATTGTGTAGTTTTTGTAGAGAGTGAGAGGGAGAGAGAGATTAGGCTGGATGATGATGATGTTTTGCTTTAAGAAATAGATCTAGAGTGGCAGGGCTGAAAGGGCTGGGGAGGGCTTTATTCCCAGAGAGAAGTGAATTTCTCTACATACATACTGAAGAAGCGCAACAGCCAAGGAGCAGTAAAAGGAAAACTCCAAAAGTGCCAAAAAGCATGAGAGGAACAAACATACATATCCTCCTTCTGTGTGGTTCAATCACATAAAAAGAAGGGCATGATAGAATCACTGTTTGTTCTCTTCCTCTTCACAAATAATAGACCAGTACCTTAGTTAAATATAGTTATTGAGAATAAGGAAGAAAGAAGTGAGAAGTGTGACCTGCATGTTATTGTATCTGTTGAAGGTTTTGCAGCAGACTGGGCATGAGAACTGTGTGGGACCAATGAGGATCTGAGAAGGGGTTGGGATCCAGTACTGGCCTTTCGTAAGCTTGCCAATAGTGGGGCAGCCAAGAGGGATGTTGATGTTGCTGCTTCCATCCTCATCGTCTTGATCAAGGTTGTGATCTTCGTCGACCGTAGCGGAGGAAATTCTAGAGATGAGATCGGCAGCGGTGGGGCTTGGGAGACCGATGTGGAGGGCGACGGTAACCGCCCCCTCGGTTTCGTCATCTTCTTCATCATCGTCAAGGGTTATTTTCTTCTTCTTTTTTGAGTCTGCTTCGGCTTCGCCGTCGAATATGGTGAAGGAGGTTTCATCTCCATCTTCAAGTTGATGCTTTTGAGGGCTTAGTTTGAGGAGGGGAAGGGCTTCTCTTAGGGGAGGGGAAGGAGGGGGCGATTGGAGGAGATTGTTGTTTGTGTTTTGGAAGTAGTAGCTGTAGTTGTAGTTGTAATTGGTGTAGAAGTTGTAGGGCGGAAGAGACGCTGGTGTTGGTTGCGGAGGAGGAGGATGAGGAGGAGGAAGCGGAGGATTTGATGTTGAGAAAGGATAATAAGAAAAGTGTCTCTTGAAGAAATTGGAATAAGGGTCTGCCATGGCTGGTTGTGGTTGTGTGAGGTTGAAGGGATGCAGAAAACAAGGGTACAAGACTATTATAGATTCGTTTATGGAGAGAGAGAGAGAGAGAGAGGACTAAAAATTAAAGGGAAGCAGGAGGAGGAAAATGCCACATCAAGAATTATAAGGCGAGATTTTTCCAAAAAAAAAAAAAGAATTATAAGGCGAGACAAATGAGGAAGAGAGGGATGGCTGAGATGATAAAGAGGGATGGGGAAGTAATGAAGTGAGGGGCTGGTGAGAGTGTGAAAGAGAAAATAAATAAAGAAATAAGAACCAGGTTATAATTTAGTCAGTGCAGAAAGGATAAAAATCCAAAATGTGATTCCCCAAGAAAAATATTTGTGGATTTTAATAAAATCGCACTTTTAAATAAAATTTATGATATGTATAAATTTATTTTAATTGATCTAAATATTTCTAAAAATTAACCTTTAATTATTGTTTCTTATTAATTTCAGCATATGAATTACTCATATTCTTAGTAGAGCTTAATTCTTAATTGGGAACTAAATATAATTTTGGGTCGATATAATCATTTTTTCTTCGACTTATGAAAAATAAGGAAAAAAAATCTGAATATATTGTTAAGCCTATTTCATTGATTTTTGTTGAGCTGATCATTTATGAACAGCTTGTGTAGGCTCAATGTAAAGATTGTGTTAGATTTGTTGGTTAAGGAGTGGACCATTAACATATATTTGAAAGCTCAAAATTTAAAAAAGCTAAACACAAGCAGAGACCTTGTTTGATCATATTCGGCTCGAATTTGCTCAAAATAATTATTGATATTTATAATCATAATATTAAATAAAAATGCTATTTATATATATATTTTTTCTTTCATATATCGTGTTCGGCATCAGAATGTCAATCGTGTCTTGAGTCTCGACTCTCACAAGTTGTGTGGAGTGCTTACTAATGAGTGGTCTCTTGGCTGTTCTATTTACTGCAATGACAAATATTTACTTTGGAACTTTTTTTTTTATAATGCTCACAAATGCTCTAGGTCACCCTCATTCACCCATTTTTACTTCTGCCTTAGCACTACAAGCTAGTCTCTATTGTTGCCTCTCATAAGCGCATAAACGCACAGTTTTTTTTTTTTTGTTACATTTAACTCTTCTCTCGGGTCTCAACAATTGCCTATTCTATTGTTTTTTTCCCCTCAAGTCACAGCTCTTTTTCTCTCAGGTAATGCCTATCACCTCTCATTCTATGTGTTGAGAGATGATTTTAGGCCTATTGTGGCTGTGAGCGCTAGTGTTATTATGTTAAAAATGATAATGAGAATTTTAATAATGCTTCAATACCTATTGAGGTCCTATTTATGAGACTACCAATAAAGACGTTACTATTATGAAGGGTAGTAAGTGAACTCCCTAACGAATGAGAGTTCTTAGTTGAATCTACATGCATGTCTAAAGTTATTCCTCTTTGGAAATGAATATATATATGTATATATACATATAATGTTATCTCTTTGTTAGGGCTTCACTCTATCCACCTCTCTTTATCATCACCCAGTCAATCGTTTCGAAAATTTCTTCATGGTTCTTCCAACTTCACGGATCTTCCGTCTTGGAAGCAGGTTCACTTGGGAGATCCCGTCTTTTTAAGTGGTAAAAATTCCTTCCACTTGTTTGTTGACACCCTTTCGAGTGCCTACTTTGCGGATGCATTTCCTGATGTCAAAGCCACAACCTATTGGGGGCTACCGGATTTATAAAATTCAGATGAAGAGGTTCTTTCTTTTGTTGCCCCTTTTGAATTTGCTTTGGTTGGAAGCTTTCACAATCACAGGCCTTCTCTCAAAGCGATTTGTTTTATGGAGGTCTTGATGAAGTGAGTTGAGCAATGACTAAGGTCAAGGAATTAGTGCACTATGCAATGTGGTACACTAGGCTTCCTAATTGCAGTGCAGGGCTGCAATTGTTTAGGTGATTATATTTCAATGATTGTAGTAAATGATTTTGATTTAGAAATGGTGATTGATCAATGTAATTAGATGTTGATTGATTATGAATCAAGGGGATGTAAACCAAGTGATTGTAGGCTAGATAATTGACAATTAGATGATTGTCAATCATTGGATTGAAATCAAGCATTTGTAAATCAATATGACTCATACAAAATTGAGATTAATAAGAGCAACAGAATAGACAAACACAACAACAAAGGACACAACCCAACTCCAATGAAAACCTAACAAACAACCCAATTCAAAAGACACCAACCACCAGCCCAGAAAAGCTTTAAAGCCCAAAACCCAATCCCAAAAACCACCTTCAACTAAAGGCCCCAAAAATGGCCCTGTAAAACTAACCAACTAGAGACGACCAACCTAGCACCAACCACAAAATACAATCGAAAACCAGTAAGGCACCCCAAAAATTGATAACCTAACCTCTACAATCAAGCTTTCAATTGAATAATTCTCCCTTTAGAGTACTTGAAATTCTACGAAAAAAAAACTTACTTTTTTCCCATAATTATGGAGAAACCATCTTTAATAACTTGCATAACTTTTATATAAATCTCATCCTAATTATCATTGAAAATACCATCCTTAAAAGCCAAATTAAACTCCCCATTTCCCCAGTTAGATCCCGCCTGAGCAGAGGGGCTCAACCAGTCAGAATGATCAATAGGATTCTCAACAAAATGTAAGTCTATATGCTGCTTCCCCACACCCAATTTTAATTTTACATCATCAAAAATAGGAAAATAAAATAAGTTAGTTATATGAACCTTATTAGTAATGTCCAAACCACCATGGGCAATATCCAACACATCCACAGGTCTAAAAAGAATATAATTTTGAGTTTCCTGTTCAAGATAATGATTCACACTAACATCTAAACCAAAGAGCTCATTGAGCATGTTATTACCGACCCCACGATACACAAGATTCTCAATAGAAGAAAGAGGAAGTTTATTATCAATATTGTAAGCATCAGGAACCAAAATAGGATTAAAAATCACCACATTATTAATGCAAATGATTTCTTGAATAACATAAATATGGGCCAAATATGTGATCTCATCATGAGGAGGTAACAAAATTTTAGGCCCAACCCACATGCTATTAGGGTAACGTTTAGAAACATATAATTCCACCAAAACACAAGCAATTGAGGATTTATACCCATTTGATGTAGCATTATCAGTTCTTAGAGGATGACCAAATAGTAATCCCAAACTATGTAATATATGCGGAGAGTACGAATTGGACCAAAGATTTGAGAAAGAAACCAAAATAGGAATGATGAGGGATTCCATAGTAATGTAAAAAATGAAAACCATTTTATTTTTATAAAGTAATTGTTGAAAAAGTAAGAGTGATGGGAAAAAGCTCTACTATAATTCATGTCATTTATGAATTCAATCAACACATGCCTTGGATCAAAGAGGGTAACTGAGAAATCACTACTAAGATTAAGATTAAAGATTTTTTTTAATCAATTCATGACTAGGCCTGCAATTGGGAAATTTACCAATCAAAGAGAATTCAAAAGGGGTTGCAAGGGAAAGAATCTCATATTGCAAAATCCTAAACGACAGTAACCCACAACGGGTTATAGTTTTGAGATCAGGAAAAGCCGTCGAAGAAGAGCCACTTGAAAAAGCATCAATAAAAGAGAGAGAATTCTTTTTACCATTTAAAAATTAGATCATCCAACCAAATATGATTAACTGCAATGTAAACTGAAGGAACATTAGAAGTTAGAATGGTCATGGTAAAAAAAAAAAAAAAGAACAATCAAGAAAATCTCAGAGAAAGCTTAAACCCTAGAAGTCCCGATCGAGGTCAAGAGAGAAATAAACATCAAAGAAGGAAAGAAACTTCCTTGAAGGTGTGGTGTTGATAGGGATGAGAGCCTAAGCAGATCTACTCTGAAAAGGATTGGGAAATGGGGGGAGACAACTTGGGCTAAGCCCTAACAGAGTGAGTATTTTCAGGAGGGGAAGGAGTGTGTCACTTTGACTTGGTCCAATTGAAAATGGGCATTAACTCATAGCTCCTTAGACATATAAATAATATGAAAAAAATTAAAGTTTAGGGTAAATAAGTAATTGATTTATCAACTAAATGATAGAAATTATTGAATTTGTTATCTTATGATGCTGATATAGATATTAAAATCCTAATATTACATGACCCAAAAAATTATGATAAATTATAAATTAGATAAATGAATGGTAGAATAATTATTATGCATGTGTATCCTTTTATGATCATTGGACATAAATGGTGTAATGTATTATTTAAATTAGAGAATCCAAACTATGAAAGAGTCCCTAGAAATACAATTAAAAATGATTGCAATAAGGTATATGAGTTAGAGAAAGATAAGTTGAAAGAATAACTTAAGCTAGTTCACAGGGTTTCATGGAGTTGTGATTGTTGGACATCATATCAAAGTTATTTATATATTTTGGATTGTTCTTTACATTGATTACACAGAAAACTTCAAGAAAGAATTGTTAATCTTATTATTCTGAAGCCACCTCATAATGCAAAATACTTATGTGAAGCTATTTATGAATATATTTTTGGAGTAGAATCTCAAAGACAATAACTTCACTATTATACTTGACAATAGTAGGAATAATGACATCACAGCTAGCTCTCATAAAAAAAATTCATTAAAAAAGAAAGTGACATTTCTAAGGGTATTTTTTCATGTCAGGTGTTGCGCATGAATCATGAATTTCCTTTTCAAGATTAATTAAAGGAAGTTCATGAAGTAATTCATCATAATAGAGTGTATATCAAATACTCACAAATAAAAAAAGAGAGATGATACATAAGCTTGTGGTAGTGTCCAAGCAATATATAACCCTCTCTTGCAACCCTTGCCCGAGTGCCTGTGCGCCCTGAGATTCGAACCAAAGACTTCCCCAGCATCCCCCACCATGCGCAAGTCGACCACCATGTCATTCCTGTAAAATTATACTATTAGATAAATTTTTTATTTATATTAAAATCGGTAGAAT